AAATACCATCATAATAAAGTAATTGTCACTTCCCAAACAATGCTTCCAAAGAGAGCTCAGGGGACTGAAGCAACCTGAAAAGATGGTTTGTAAGACCTTTTTTTTGGTGCAAACACCCCAAAACTGCAGTGATCTACTGTATTTTTAGATACTCTCAGTTCTCATGTGGCTTGGATTTGTGCATGGTTTGATGACTGTTTTGTGTCACATATTAAATGTTTGATAGTTTGGAAAGAGGCCTCAAAGGTTAAGCTCTGGTCAACTCAGTGTTTGGTTATTTATCTTCAGTTACATGTCAGATTAAATAAAATTAGATAATAACAATAGTGTTGGGGTCAAGTCTTCTTTTGAGTTCAGGCCCTTTGCACCTGCAGTATGACTAAGCAGCTCCCTCCTCCTGCACCTCCTGCCTCCCTTCAACCAGCGTGTGCATACTCTAATATGAATAATGTTTCTCCTCCAAGTCCCCCCTGTAATAAATGGAGTGCCATTTCGCACAATGGCAGAGTCAGGCCTGTATTGATTAACTCTCATCATCGACTCTCGACGCCTGCTTCCTTGATTTATGATTGTCTGTTATTTTTACATTAGCTGTCAAATTCATCTTGTCTCCGCGCACGTTCTGGGTCGGTCTCTGCAAACAGTAAACACCCTGCACCCTGCCTAACACCCCCCCTCCACTCCAACCCCCACCTCCACCACAGGAGTGAACGCTGTTTTTGTGGTGTTTATGGCTTGGAAACAGGGAGAGGATCAGTGTGGAGCTGCCAGACAAGAAGCAGGACAGACTTTACACACACACACCGTATAGTTTGAACCGTTGATGCCTTTTGATACTCGAAAGTGACAGACCATCAGCAACATTACTGGTGATTTTTGTATTGCAATTTGCCAGTGTGAGGGTGTAGGTGAGCAGCTGAAGGAATGGTCTGTTTTTACACTTTCCTCATTGAATATTAACAAATTAATGAAAAGCAATAATAACCTGCATACAAAAGTTGTCTATGTAATATGGCTTTGTTCTGAGATCTCCCTGCCCTTCCACATGCTCACGTGAAATGCTAAAGCCTGCAGCAGGGAGAGCACACCTCCCCTTGGTTTAATGTGTGTACACGGACAGTAAGCAGGGAGAGCAGCAGTGAGAGAACAGAGATGACATCAGTGACAGTATATATGACAGTAGCTATGTTTACATGTGCAAAATTTCTTGATCCAATCGAAAATTTTAGGGATCGGATAATCTGAATCCACTGTTTAAATGTGTGCAAGGTCAAATAATCCAGTCATGACATGTGTATACATGTGTATACAAGTTTTATTCAGATTAGAAGCAGTTTCTGAATAATGATCAGCATAAACCATACCTCTCTATTAGAATGCAATGTCTTTCCAATTTGACCAAATTGGATCTGAATCTACCGACAGACATGTTTACATGTCGCTTTTTTATTCCGATCGGACATTTATTCCGATTATTTGTGCCCATGTAAACGCAGCTGATAAGATTAGAGCTGGAGTGGATGAAGTTTGCAGAGCAGTTATGAATAAAGCAGGAAGACAAGGCAGGTTGAAGCAGTTCAAGTCGAACGCTGATGTTTTACATTGCCACTTAAGTGCATTGAAAGTTAGCAGCTGAGCTGCAGCTGAGCACAAGCTAATTTTTAATTCCATAAGCAGGTTTTTTACTCTTTGTAACCATATTTTCAGCATTTGATAACTAAAAATGGTCCATCTTCTGGACTTGTCAGAAGAAAAGGTCATCTGAAACCATGGCTCAGTATAAACCAGATGAGTGACCATGTCTGTTTGTTTGATCAACATGTGCATTTGTGCATCTACTTCTGTATGCAACTTTAGTACAATACTGCGCACAGAAACACTCCGATATATGCTTACACTATGTAATAGTATATGCATTAACATGTCTGTTTGATGCAAATTTTGAGCAATAGGGCTATATGCAATCACACTAGCACTTTACACCAAAGGGTCTGGATAAAGGAACAATTTACACCAACACCCTCACCATCATGTGTAATACACTAGCACTTTAGCATTTGCCTTTTCACTTTAAACACCTAATGTATTTTAGCCCTAACCTATGGGAGGCCAGGGACGACAGATGGAAAACAGCCATGAAGCATACAAGCTGCGGCTGTGAGTTAGGACCTTAAATAAACCCCAGTGCTCCATGATAAACAACATCCAGAGTGGAGACATTGTGAGGATGCATGCATATGTAACTCTGAAACCCTGGGCATACTTGAATTCACTCATGAGCATCAAAAATGATGTAACAGACAAACAGCAGTCTGGTACATTTTGACTGTAACTTTCAGAACCTGTTAAGCAGACTCTGTGAAAGTTCACAGAAAGTCCACATCAGTCACTTTAGCTTTGGAGTGGCTGAACAAACTTTTGGGGTCTGAGAGTTTGAGAGTGCAGAGACCTGCAGGACATTTGGATTTATATCACATATAGGAAACTTTTTGACTGTACTGATTTAGTCTCTTTAAAAACTTTCCTGACCTGCTTCGTATGATGTTGAAATCTGCAGCACAGCTCTAATTCACATGGCTTAACTTTTAATTAAACTTTTTCTTTGAGGAATGATTTTTCTGCAACAAAGCACATCCATGAAAGCAAACTGGAGTGCTGAAGTTTTAAAAACATTAGTTTCTTACAGTTAGGTGACATTGGAAAAGAGAAAAAAAGCACAAAATCACATGTTGTTTTTGTAAATTGTTGATTTAAATAATGTCGGCAGAGGTTGGCAGAAATAGATTATTGTAATCAAATCGATTTGCAGGTAAGAAATGACAGTTTGATATAATTTCTTTTTGGAAAATGATAAAGTAGCAGCAGAAGTTGAAGGCTGGGCTCAGTCTGAATGTTTAAACAGCCAAGCATTAACATATGTATTGCTGCTGTCTTTAATTTGCATCTCCTATGATTGAATTTGGTGGACGGCGTCTCTTCTAAGACAACATGTTTATGACTTTGAGATAAGAGCGCAAACCTTCAATCGCTGCTCTGCAATTTGACCTGAAATTTCCCAAGACTCTGAACATTAAAATCATTTGAATAATGTCGTCTCACAGATGGATTTTCCTTTTTTTAACCTTGCTCTAAAATGACAGCCAGATAGACACTTGGCATGTGCAATGCCTGTGCTTTACTCGTCTATTTGGAGTCTAGATTGGACGTCAGGGCCAGCCTGGTGATCAGCGATCAGTATAAACACAGAGTCCAGCTCTGTCAATTTACAGACCTGCTATCTAGCCTCCCCTCCCCCACCTCTCAGACTGGTCTGGATCCAGCAGATGTCAAAGTATATAGGTCTAAGTTGGAGTAACCTCCCCTTTTCTCCGTTCCTTTTCTCTCTCCTTTCAGCCTGCTGGCGTTTCACCTCGGGAGAGTGAAGCGATAATAACAGACGGGCCGAGGCGAGGGCCGCACGGGTAAAGCGGGTCCTCGGCTGTAATGGCGGGGCTGTCTGCTCCCTCGGACCCGCCGGCTCGGGGGTTCATTGAGATTCCATTAGAGGCTGCGGGGAGCGGTTTCATAGCAGCCTTTCCTTTCGTTTGCCTGACACTCACACGGGGATCACTGTAAATTGGCTCTGTCATAGCAGACAATTTTTGAGATGTGAAGTAAATTAAACATGTAATCACACAGGAAGCGCCGCCGCAGGTTCCCCAACACTTGACTCCCTTCAGCTAGCATCCGCGGGCGTCTCACTAGCTCGTTTTCATCCTCGTTACCCCGTCTATCTTTACCTCCATCTCCTCATTGTTAAATGACACTGTACTATTTGCTTTCTTGGCACCTGGAGAGATGATGTGCTGACCTTTAATGACGCTGGGCCGCGGCTGCTCAGACAAACTTCAGCGATGTTTAAAGGAGTGAAACCTCTGGTCTAACTCTGCTTCTCAACAGGGACATCTCTGACTGTCACTGCTCTAATAGAGTCAGTGAAGACACAAACTTTATTGGTGCTGTGTTTTTATGATCACTGCTATGATCATATGAGGTTTCTAAACTGATTTGCATGTATAACTGATCAAATATATAACTTCTTAGCTGTGCCTAGTGGAAATTACATGACTGTGGAGTATGCACAAAATTGTAGATTCTCATGGTCTGTATTTGTCCAGTAGACAAAAGTGCATTTAACCTTTGAAATACACCCTGTAAATGAGAGGATGGGAGGCTGATCTGTGTTGTCTTTAAAGGGATGGTTCAGTAATGTTTAAAGAGAGGATGAAGAGGTTCTGGTCAGTAGCAGGTGTTTTAGCCACAGGAGGCTCTGGTCAGCTCGACTCTTTTGTTAAGAAACCAGCAAGGGAACAGGAGCAGAAGCTACACCACCAACCACTGCAGACAGGGCCGGCTCAGCCACTTACCACGTGTTGTGTCCTTGTGCAACAAAAACACAAGGATTACTACATTCTGCCTCTGTGAGTTTCTGATTTGACTTTTGAATCTTAACAAGTTTTGTGTTTGCGGGAGTGTGCTTGCAGTTTGCACACCTGCACCTCCAGGTAACTAGGGATATGCTATCAAGTTAGCGTAGAAATATCTAAAGTTATATAAAGTTTTGTCACTTAGAAGCCTGCAGACCAACGTATTGCAGACGGAGGAGAACATATTTGCCACATTTAAGAATAATGCAAAAACTAATGGACTTTTGGAGAGCAAAGTCAAGCACTGACAGATTTCCAAACAGAGCATACACTTAAACCAAAACCAGTACTCTAGAAGGAGTTTTTTAAAATTCGCAAAAACACATTTTCGGTCAATAGTTTAGTTTGGTGTTGTGAAAGAAGACAAGAGAAGAGACACTGTCACTCTTATTCATACCAAAAGGATTAATAAGCAAGAGGAAAATGGAGACATCTGGTCTCAGCCTACACACACACACACACACACACACACACACATTGAGCTCTTCCAGAATCAAACCTGTTATACCTGCAGACTAAAACAGTGCATTCATGTCAGCATCTGTGATGAGACCAGGCTGGAATATCCCATAATTCCTCTTTTACACACTCCTCTCCCCGCTCCAGCATCTCCCGTTCCTGCTTTGTGATTAAGCCGTTGTATGTTGTCTCTTCTCGTTCCCATGTTGCAGCTGAAGGCCCGGTGAAGTGCTGCTGGCAGAACACCGGCCGGGTAGCGCCTGAGTGGAGGAAACATCGAGGATTGAGCAGCAGAGGCTGAAAAATTAGGTCCCTGCCTTGTAATTCAGCGGTGGGAGCTGATATCATCAGGCTGCGCTCGACTATCAGGCAGGTAATACCACCCACCGACTGTAATCGCTAATGAAGCTACTATTGAGTTTATAATGCGCTAAATGATGCAGACTCCCACTCCAGATAAACACGTCCCAAATAAACGATTTGGGTGGTAATTGCACTCCGCCAGTGGCCTGTTAATAGAGTGGAGGCGCTGATGAAAGGGTTAACTCTCTTTCTGAAGCATCCTCTCACTGGCTCATTGCACTCTCATTTCTACGGAGATCTCAGCATTCCCTTGGTTATCAGTGTGCTTAGAAAGAAAACCTAATTAGACAAAAAGGCCTTTTTTCTCATTCCCTAATTAGGTCCTTAACATAATTAGCAGGTGATGTTAATAACCCTCTTTTAAAACCTATTAAAAGGCTGTTTGGGAGCAAGTGGTGGAGAAGAGTTGGCCTGTGGGCAGTCAGGCGGCCCCTCTCAGGGCCCCGACGAGGACAGCAGAGCATGCTGGGAGTGTGGTTCATCAGGACTAGAGTGCCACTGCATTAAGACTTTGGCCTCATTGGAGACCAAGTTAATACAGAGCGGTGACTCTCTTTAGCTGTTAAGAGGTGTTACAGCGCTCACATGGACAAGAACCAATCTGGATTAAACTCAGATTATCAAACCTGCATCACAGCAGATTACAAATTAATCTGTCATCATCAGAACTTCACAGAAATCAGCTAAAAAAGATGACTAACTATGCTCAAAACAAGAGGATGATAGTGTGAGTTGGCAAAACACGCAGCTGGGTGATTAAGATGGATGAATTTTTCAGATTTTTTATCTAACAATTTGTCTAAAAGACACGTTTCTACAGCATTTTAGTGTCTTTAAATTCATCATTTTGGTTTTAAAGCTCCAAGTATGGTCAATAAATCAACTTCTGTCAGAAAGAGGAGCCCGAGGAAGAGTCAACGTGCACAACAACACACACCAGAAAGACAAATAAACGACAAGCCAGAAAACAATACAAACATTTCACAGTTTCAGTAGCCAGATCTGTTATTGGGTGGACACAAGCTCACCCAGTGTAAATGCTCATACCACTTCATATTTGCTGGTGTTAAAAGGTAAAAATTTCCTTACACATTATGCATGACTTTATAGGATTGTTGTAACTTTGCACATGGACTCGCACTTAGGTGTATTTGCAGAAGCTATGATCTACCCTAGAGGACATTTTTAAAAGTTAGACACACATGGGCACAAACATGACCATAGCCAGGATCAGGAAATGCTGAGGTGACATGTAATCAGTGTTGCCAGATGGGAAATATAGAACTATCGTACCAGAGACTCAAAACTATCGTATTTTGGGGAAAATTATCGTACACCCTTCATAATCAAAATAACAATCTTGCTATTGCATGGTGGCCACATATAGTCACTCTGTTTAGTGTCCTACAGGCAGTTACAGTTTCACCGCTCCACCCCACATCAGCAGCGTATGATCAGCAGCTCCAACTCAGCCATTTTACACTAATGCGTCCCCTTTAAACAAATGACAGGTGGGAACCAATAAGCCAAATCATGAGACCTTGAGGCCACCTACTTTTTTGAAACAATATTCTGGCAAGGAAATAAAGAGTTATCTGACTTCACTTTGTAAAATTTATTTTAGACACATAAATCAACTTGTCCTCACATGAGGATTCGGCTCCCGTTCATCACAGTCCTCTTCAGTGGTGCTCATTTTTCTCAACCAACTTCCCATCTGAGCATGATTGACAGGCAATCATGCTCGTTGTTCAGAGACGAACGTCACTCAAACTACGATTGGGTGGAAACATCACGTGGTAAAAGATGTCTTTAGGGTTCACAAAAAAATGAAAATTAAAGTGTCTAGCAGACTGAGACAGTCCCATTGCGTCACATGTTAACGTAACTGTCAAATTATTGGACATTTAGCCTTTTTTTCTAGGTTATTGATCGTACATCGTACAGAGGGCAAAATTATCGTACAAATACGATAATACACCTGGCAACCCTAGACATTTTGCAACCTACACATCACTCAAAGAAATGTTAACTTTGGACTAAAAGTAACCCCTTTAATGTTGCATTTGATTTCAAACCCATTTTTTATTCTCAGCCTTTATTTTTAGGGGGATAAATAGGTTTTCCACATCGATTCACATTCGGATGTTAAACACTAAAGCAGCCAAACCTTTTTCAAAACAGCTTAAAGAGAGTTTAAAATTTATAACAAGCATGTCCCTAGATAAACGCTTGAAGTCATTCCATATCTGCTAATGTAGGAAAATAAAAAAATCTGGGGTTCAGGTTAGGTTTAGCAGTGAAATTGTGAATCTCATGTACAATGGCTGTGGCGCATCCTCTCCAAGACACTCTGCAGTTTCCAACCCAATCCACTGTCCTATTTCTCTCAATAACAACACGAAAGCCAAAAATAAAATAAAAAAAGTTACGCTGAACTTGATTTAGCTTGTCAATGTTGTGTTGAGCTGAAACATATCTTACAATAAATAGCTCATCTGCTTTAGTTTTGAACAGAGTTTTTACAGATTTTAAAACCTCAACACTTTACTGTGTGTTCACTATAGATATCATCATAATGTCTGTCTGTCTGTCTGTCTGTCTGTCTGTCTGTCTGTCTGTCTGTCTGTCTGTCTATCATACCTTTTGTTTTAGTAGGCTTACATGCTGAGTTCAAAACCTACGTGCGACAGAAACAAAAACACAAAATGAAATATTTTCTACTTTTTGTAATGATCATTTTGAACATTTTGAAGTCATTAATTGTCCCATTTCTTCATAGATGCAGTGCTTGAGTAAAGTTTAACCAAACTGTATGGCTCTCCCATAGACTCTATGCAATGTCCTTACCCGTGTAAAAATCATGAATTTTCAAAATGAACAAGAATAACCCACATGAATATGATATTTAGGAAATATATGAATACAAAGAGCAAAAGGCATACTAAAACAAAACAAACAAACAAAAAAAAAAACATTGAAAATTTCACATTTCCTGTTCTTGCACTGATAATACATTTATTACTCTAACTCCTTTGCACATTTACAAATGCCATTAGAGACACTGAAACTGAATTTCATCATAAACTGCTATACACATCTAGTATGAGCATCCTCAGACCTCTGACTTTACTGATATTTATCAAATTTAGTTTCACACGTCAGTTTTCCTTTGATCCTTTTCTGTCATTACCCTCAACAACAGCTGCAAAAGTAAACACAAGCAACACACCCCCTGTATGTCCAACTGCTGTCATTATTTACAAACCGCAGGACAGAAAAAGGAGATGTATTGTGTGTGTGTGTGTGTGTGTGTGTGTGTGTGTGTGTGTGTGTGTGTGTGTGTGTGTGTGTGTGTGTGTGTGTGCGTGCGTGCGTGCGTGCGTGCGTGTGTGTGTGTGTGTATACAAGGGCAGGCGTCACAAACCACCAGGGGGCATTGTGTATTCAATAATGCACCCAGAAAATTACCATAGACGCAAAACGGGGTGCATTGTCACTAACTGGCCTGCAGTGAAATATTGTTGACAGGGCTGAGGGAAGTGCTGTGGGTTCCAGTGAGCAGTCTGTGCACTCTGCCGAGGAGGAGGAAGATGAGGAAGAGGCCGCCGCCGACCAGAAGAGCCCAGTCCTCGTCTTTAATTAAGTATCTGAAACATCAATTTAAATGTAAATATCGCTGGTGCAGCACCACTCATGCGTAAATTAGAGGGTTGGCCCAGCCACGCTTCTCTCTCTCTCTTCCAAGTCCCTCGCTCACTTACGCTGACATCTGCTCACAGCTGCTCGGCCCGGGGCTGTCCCCCACATGCACGCACGCATGCACACGAACACACACACTTCATCTTTTCACTAAGTCTTACAGACAGGGTTTTTAACCCAAAGTTAGTGACAGTGGAGTGACTGTCTTCTGCTTTTTGTTTCAACTGATTTGTTTCACGCTGCAGAGCGGCTGCTACAATTGTCACTTTTTAATCACACCAGTCACAATCAGGAGTCAAATGTGTGATTGTTTTTGATAATAGCCAACTAAGGCCACTGAAAAGCTTGCACTTTATCCTGATTTAGTCATTTTCACATCAACAGTAGGTCTGATGTGTTATGTAAAAGGTGATGCTTGTGGCCAATGCCAGGATTTGGAAACTAGATCACTGGTCATGATATCCCAGGTGTAACCCCAACTCTCAGATAGAGAAATAAAGGCTATAAAATGCTGCATCTGATTTCAAATTCCAGCTGAAAGTTACTGTTTTTTGTATGAAGTAGGATCAACATGTTAGAGGCTTGCATTACTTCTGTAAAATTGAATCAGGTTTAATCGTCTTCGAGTTTCTCTTTCTAAAGAACAGAAACTCCTTCCAAGTTTTAATCCAGATTCCTATAAAAGCTACAGAGGAGACTTTAGAGGCATTCACTGCCAACACAAATTGTTGAATTTTCTCAGCATTTTGAAGGTTAAATATGTATTCTGTTGGTCAAAGAGAGATCAAAAACAGACAAAAATGGACAAATACATACAGGGTGCACATGTGGGATGAAATAAACATCCAAGGGGCCTGTGGAGATGCCTAACCTGACATTGAGACCAAACTATCTGAAAAGTGCTCAAGAAAAGCTCAAACAGGAATAAAGGATCTTTCACAAACAACCAAACTAGTTATAACATTCCACAGTTACATACTATCAAACTCTAAAATGAGAACCAAAAATAAACAACTATAAAAGATCCACTGTGACAAAATCATATTTTTTGTTTTCCAGTTTCTTACTAACTTTGTCTCCTACTTTGATGAAATGCAAAACCGTGGCCCTCAGGAGGGTGGATACATGTCCTGTTGATGTAAAGGGAACTGTTTATAACAGACAAACTATCACAACTATATTTTTAGGGCACTGCATGTTAATTTAATTTTTTAAAGTTATATTTTGCAGAATAAAATGGCTTTTAAGGAATGGGGCTGTGGCACCATAAACACATTGGGCTCCTCAGTTAACCCTTGCTAGTGTCAATCACAGAGGGTAAGAATTAGGGATTTTTCTGGCATATTCTTGTCATTGGAACATGATTGACATATCAACACAGGCCCTCACAAGACCGATAACATCTTTATCTTTTCTAAATAAAAACACACTGGTCCCATCCTAAATGACAGCCAACTTATTCTCACACATATATAGAGAAAGGCCTTTGTAACAGGCCTGACCTCAGGTCTGACTTGTTGCACTGGGACTTTGTGAACCACATCTTGCCACTTGCTCCAGCACATTTTAACAATTTACACGATGACTCCCAAATAGGAAACCAAGCTTTGTAGTTTTTATCCATGCACTACAAACGTGCACTATATGCATGTAAACAGATGCAGGAGAAGCATGATTGTTTGGACTCAGCTGTGTGGCTCCTAATGTGTGTGTGTGTGTGTGCGTGCGTGCGTGCGCGCGCGAGCAGAGGTGCTTCTTGCGCCACTAACTGCCCCTTCCGCTTGCTTACTCCCCTTCTGGAGGCACCCGAGTGGCACGGCTGGCCTTTAGCCGGCTGTCTGCTGGCCCATCAGGACACAGCTCATAAAGAAGAGCCTACTCTGATGAAGGCGAGGAGGGAGGCATGATTTAATAGAGGGGTGGAGGTGATCTCTTCTTACGGCCCCCCGAGGAGTCCCTCCCTCTCATCCCTCTCTCTGAGGGGGTGAGCGGAGGCCTCTTCGTGGTGGTCACTGAGGAAGACTTTGGTGTGTATGTCAGCTGATTAAGCAGCTCATATTCAGTCATTTAAGAGTGAAAGAGTAAGTCAGTCGGGTGGAGGGGGTGTAGCTGGAAGAGAGCACAGCACTGACAATGTGTCCAATATCTGCCTTTGTGTATTCTCCCTCAATCTAGATCAGGGTATTAGAGGATGACATCCTGGTGTAATGCCTCAGGAAGATCCGGGCTGGGGACTAAGACTCAACTAGTGTTCAACCTGCAACTGCCAGCCGGCTGATGGGTTGTTAACGGCGGCTAAAGGAATTAGGATTGACATGTTCACTCTGCAGAACAATGTAGCTTTTAAGTGGCATCGTCTCGGCTCCTTATGGCTCTACGTGTATGAGAATGTGCTAATCGGTTAGACAGCGCTAATCTGAAGTGAGAGATTTCAACAGGTCGGCACATTTTTTCAGGATTTCTCTCTGTTAAAGCTGTTAAAGCCTGACCTTCAGAGCTCGGCTGCGTGTTGAATTAGAGCATGTATTCCGCCAATCATGCTTCTATTCAGAGACGATTGTTCTTTATGAAAGCAGTATCTTTAAATCGGGTGCAGTGGCCTGAAAGCTGCTCATGCTTGGAGGTATTTGAACATATTTATTGTCAGTGGAGCTCAAGTTTGTGCTGCTGATCTCAGTCCACAGACTGCTCTTTTCTCTGCTCCACAACAGGAAAAAACTTTTTACATTGAATAAAAGAAAAACCTGAACCACAGCAAGACTTGTAAGAGGAGTCTCCTATATAGGTCTAACCTCAAATGAAACGCTTCTTAAGACATGTCCAATTCTAACTTTAATACACCTTTCAGTATGGATTACTTCAAGTAGTACAACCATGATGATTTGATCCACCACAGTATAACGTTGCTAGTTTTCTATCTTGAAATTTCGCCTCAGGGTCAACCGCTCGATTATATCCTTCTTTTTTTATGCCACAGCCAAAGTTTCAAGTGTAAGCTGACAAAAGTGCCGCATCGATTCATCCAGAGCTCTGGTGATGTGTTAAAAACTGCAGTTCCTCAAGTATCCGCATAAGGCAAAAGTACTCAAAGCCGTTTACAGAGTCATTAAAAAAAAGCTTATCTTAAGAACACACAAACATGTTTACAGCCTGGTTTCAAATTATTTAGGTTCTGATCAGCTCATTTCTTTCTCTGCACACACTGCACAGGGAGTGTTTTTTACAACGCAAGGAGGCTGAAGGCCTACCTCAACAGGTTGATCAGAAGCTGGGTTAAGTCTGCATTTCCACTAAAGGAGTTATGTCCAAAAGACTCAAAAACAGGCTGATTCAGCCAGCGAGTGAGTGTGTTGTATTTGTCTTTCAGGTGGTTATGTTATTACCTCAACTCCACCTTGTTTCTAACTCAAGCATGTAATCAGTTGGCACCAGAACTTTGGTTTTCTTTTAGTTTCATGATACCGATGATTCTATGATTATATTTCACAACTATGATCCTTCTTGAACCTGTTACTTCAGAAATTAAAAGTTGATAACACTAAATTGCATTTTGTGAAATGATTTTGTCATATTTATAATAATGATTTTATCAAACCATCATATCTGCGGTGTTAAAACTGCATGCAGAAGGTTTTATAGCTCGTACCTTTTGGTTTCCCCACAGCTGTAACCAGGATATCATCACCTTTTCTGAATGCACCGCTCAATGCAGTCACCTCCAGGTTAAAGCCATCAAAGTGTTGGCCTGCGGCTCTTCTGGTCAGAGAGAGAGGGGATTTATGGCAGCGAACCAGCCGCCTGGTAAGCCTGTCCCAGCGCTGGTGCTCGCTGGCAGCCATCATCAGCCGCAGCTCATGTGTTAGAGGACCACCCGTGCCATGGTGAGTAATTCCCCTGTCATCACTCCATACACCCACCGCTCAACACTGGCTGGCATGGCTCCCTGTGCCCATTCTTAGTCAACAGGATTAAGCTTGCTTAGTGTGAGCTCTCCGGGATCACCTATACTCCATATTGTACACTCACAATGCTGGCTCACCAGTTTGGCTACAACAGCCTGTTTTTTTGCCTCCCCTCCTCTTCCTCTTTGAATCGGGAGCATATGAATGTGTTTCCCTCGAGCAGAGAGAAGAGGATTGAGAGGAGGCAGAGGCCAATCGTATCCAGGCCTAAATAGGAGATCTGAGTTAATTTGCCACGCAATTTATAAATTGGGATTAATTTGAATCGACTAAAAGCACTGGTTGGTTGCCGTGTTGTTGTGTTTTTTTTTTAATGTTTTTTTTCTTACCGGTAATACCTAAAAGGAGCAGTATTCAAACCAGCAAGCTCCAAAAACCAAATCAAATTTGTAACATTGTTCATTTGGTGTCACAAAATATTCTCATTAGCAGCAAAATGAGTTTTGATCTTTTTTGTTTGATTGCATAAATGCCACACTGTGTGATTAAATTGTCCCAGTGGTGTATGAAACAAACAATGAAGCAATCATTATTCTGGATTTACATGTGTTGTTATGGATGAAAAGAGGTTGAGAAATTTAGAAGGTGATGAATGATTCTTGATAAAGATCCTGCTGAAAGACCCATTATTCTCATTATGCCGGTCTGGGACACCTCTAGAGGAGCTTTTACATGATTTTCGTCTTATGCTGAAAACCTTCATTTCAACACTACTCAGCCTCTGAAACACTATTTTGTTTGCTTTTCCACTGGTTTGCAGTGAGACAGAGTTTTAGCTTTTAGCTTTGTAGTCATTTTGTTTGTTGTCATTAATCAACCCAAAAGTTATACCTTTCCTGGAAATGTCTGAGTCTGGCTCGGGCACATGGATTAATTGAATTCCAATTTCAATCACGCTCATGGTTCCCCTTTATCATGGAAATATGATAAATGAAATTGAGCAAAGACAGTGGCCCTCGCTGTTTTGCACTTATTCTGTTTAGTGCACGAAAGCAAGGGCCAGCATTTTCCCCACTCCTCCTCCTAGCTCTCACCTTTGCTTTTTCACCAAAATCTGAGTTTTAATGTTCAACAAAGTTTGGGAATGTTCGGATGATGCAGGTGACACAAAAGTTGATTATAGCCTGCTGAATCTTCGATACGTTGTGGTTCAGCCGTTCAAAGTTTTATGCAGTCACAAGCCTAGAGAGGAAAGCAGGGAGAAGAGTGTGTGTGTGAAAAGCAAAAGGATAGACACAGTAGGTATGTTTACATGTGCAAAATTTCTTGATTTGATAAAAACTTTGAGGGATCAGATAATCTGAATCCACTGTTTGTATGGGTACAAAATCAAATAATCCGATCATGATGTGCGTGTACATGCACCAAGCTTTATTCAGATTAGAAACATTTTGACATGCGTAGAGTTATCTGGTAAAACAACCGCAGAAGAAGAGCTGTATTGATGCCTGTGCTGTCAACAAACCAACAAACGCGGTAGTGGCTCACTACAACCAATTCAGGAGTTTTCCCCATGTTAAGTATTGTCAGTAGATGGCACCCTTGCGTACTTATTTTACTGTCCTGTCAAAGGTTGTATTGTGTGTGCAGATGTGACATCATTACGCTGTATGTACACCTTGTTATGATACCGGAGGAGACATGGCACCTGTGGTTGTGTTTCATGCCAGAGTGTTAATAATAAAACTTCCTGTACTGGCCTCAATAAATAAGCCAAAGGCTAAAAAATAAAGACCAAGTCAGGTAAGAGAGTCATGATCGGAATAAGTGTTTACATGGACACGTTTCGGAATAACAATCAGCATAAACTACCCCTCTCGAATGGAATACAATTTCTTTCCGATTGAGCCAAATTGGATCAGAATCTTCCGATCAACACGTTTACATGACGCGTTTTTTTCCGATCAGGTATTTATTCCGATTATATGTGCCCATGTAACCGCAGTTAATGACAGAGAGGCTGAAGCTAGCATGAGTTTGCAGGAGTGCTGTTGTTGCCTTTGTTGTCCCTAAATCATCAAAAGTTCCCAGTTTTGTGCTGCTGTTGAAGCTTTGTTTGTGTTCTGGGGTATTTTTTCTCAAATGTGTTGGTTTGATGAAGCTGAACAGGTAAAAAATCCAAATTCTCTTCTGATAAACCTGTTTTAAAGCAGACACAGGTTGATGTTTAAATGGGTTAGATTCTGTGTAAGCAAATATTTTATCCATCGGTCTCTGTGGATCAAAACTGGTTATATGATTCATAAATATGGTTTATGGCCGTCACACAGCCTAACTGAACCATCTTTATGTTATGAGGGTTATAAGTTACCTTTGAGCTAACATGTTTAAATAACAAAGCGGCACTTGAGTCCCAGCTTGACCTTCCAGTCTGGTGATTTCCCCTCACTGAATCCTGGCAAAGCTGTCCTGACTCAGTATTTTGTTATTAAATTGTACCTCAATGCCATTTGTGTCACATTATGAAATGCTAGCGGTACAGAATGTCATTTGGTGGAATCGGGGGCATTTGCTCCAGAAAATTAATGTGGTTTCCTGCAGGATCTCTGTCTCTTTCTGCAGGCTTGTATTTCATCAGAAATGAAATGCCCTTATACCCGCAGCAGCCTTCTGACAAGAGTAATATTTAATGAATAGGTCTATTATCAACGTCTCAGTCTTAGGGTATATTTCTTGGTAAGGAATGGGCGTGCAGGCATGATTACATATGCATTCACAGAGGGACATTTTACACCGTTAACTGGGTCATGTGTCACAGTGTTGCTCTGGATAATCAGTAAGAAAGGCTGTTACATACACAAATATGGATTTTAGTTTGTCTTCTGTTATAGAGTTACACATGGTATCTTTAAGTGTTTTTTTTTTTTTTTTTTTTTTTACAGTAAATGCAAGAGTGGAGTTTGGTTATTACTGGATTGGATAAAATGAAAAAATGCGGAAATGCAGTTCATGCCAGAAATATGCATAAACAGTGTTTATATAAGACATGTGGGTGAATATGTCCGTCAATTCTCAATAAGAGTGTGCAAATATGTGCTCCGTGCACAAGCATGCTGTGTGTGTTTGCACTGCATGCCAGCAAACATATGCTCCTGTGTTTGTCTATGCGTGCGTGCGCCTGCCGTTGTGTGCGTGTACAGTATCTGGGTGTTTGTTCATGTGTCTGTAGGAGGATAATAGCCATCACACGGTCTCAAGTTAATTTCCCATGTAAATAGCACAGTGCTGTTTAATCACACAAAAAGCAGACTGAGAAATGGAGCATGTCTGCACTCTTCACATATAATGAACTCATGCTTTCGTGAATGCATTCTTCTTTATTGCAAACAAACAGAAATGCACCTGATTCTGCATTCTGTCACATTAGATACAGTCGAATATAAGCCGTGTACTCATTAAGATAAGTGAGAGCTAATTTTCTGAACAAGAGTTACAAGCATCTCTAAAATCCTGTCTCTCTACTTCCAGTTTTACACATATCTGAGCACACTTTAACTTATGATTTAGTGTAACCCTTAAAAATCTGCAGTACAAATGCTTTTCCGGTGCCCAAGTTTGTTTGTTTTTTTGTAGTTTCTTCACAAAACTTTGAATGTTTCCAGCGTTTAAAACTGTTTGATATTATGAGCAGACAAAAATGAACTATTGAAAAATAGTACGAGATGCCATGCACTATAAATGTAATACTCTTACATTAAACCATATTAAATGAAACCTTTTGTGTGAAAGTGATCTGTATAACATTTTTCCTCAAACCCTGTAAGTTTTTCAAATTATATGATTAAAAGCTCGACTTTGATTTCACAGCATCTGCAATAGAATACAGTGACTAAATTGCTATTTTTGCTCATTACGGTGTTTCATGGAGTATCTTCAAATCCCCATTATATGTGCAAAGTTGAAGTTTCCTTTATAATGCTTTTGCTATTCATGTAACATCAGTGAAAGTCGAATCTTATGGGGCTTTCCCAGGCCCAGATCAGAGCTGTCGTCCTGGTATCTAAATGTTTTTGACATTTAGTTGTTACATCCAACATGACATTGTGCATTATAACATGTCACAACCTGACGAAAAATGTATCATAAAGTAACAGACAATAACCAGTTCTGAGAATCTGTCAATTTCTTAAAAGCCATTATCAATAATTACCATTATTATTGTTATTCATTTCAGCAATATGAAGCAATTCTTACCAGTGTACGACATTATACATGATACTGTTAGTAGTTTCTAGCTTCCTACATAAGACAAAGCATGAACAACCACCACAGAAAGGGCAAAAAAAAGAGTGTTAGATATAGGATTTTAGTATATTCACACACACACAATAGTAGTTCCTCAAACATTTAACACCATACCTTAAACTAGAGCTAAACGACAGATGTCACTGTGTCACCACTTCCTCATTGTGTAGCATCTTTCATGACTGAAGAATGTAAACATGCACGAGAGTCGGATCACTGCTACAGTCACTGATACCCACAAAATGCTTGATTAATCAATAGGTTTTTTAAACAGAGTTGTTCAGTGTTCGATTATGTTGGGGGAACAACCCATGACCGCTTAAGTCATGTGATCGCAGAGTGTGTTCACTTTAACATCTACACCTGCAGTGCATGTACATTATAGAGATGTGAGGCTCTTGTAGAAGAAGTCAGTGAATATTTGTTAAATAAGAATAACCAACATACTTAAATGAATGAATGAATGAATGAATAAATGCTTTATTTCGGTTTAAAAATAAAAAGAACAAATAAAAATCACATTTATACAAAACCTCTTTAAGACAGCAACCATCATAGATTAAACAAATAATTTACAATCGAGCATCAGTACTTGTACCTCGTTACATAACCACTAGATAGCTTAGACTGAA